TATATCCGAGACAAAACCATGCAGGATCTACAGAAAAACCCAAATTTCACAACCAATCCCGAATTTCAGAACAAACCGGAAAATTTCCATGCAGGCATGGATTTAACAGAAAACTCAACATTTACAAAATTCTCAGTTCATAAAAGCAGTTCAGTCAATTCCCAAATAGGCATGCTCTATTCCAGAAAAACAATAAAATTCTCATTTTCATTTCTCAATCATGCTCATTTCTAGAAAATCAATAAAATCCTCATTTTCATTCCAATCATGCTCAATTTCAGAAAAACAAGGAAATTCTCATGAAAATCATCCAAATTCTCATTTCATTTTAATCACCCTCAGATGCTGATAAAATCAATTTAAAATCAATTTAAACCTTGCCACCATCTCAAAAACAATTTAAAACATGCTTTGAAATCGAAGGGCTTTACCATAATTTACTTACCTTACTCGCACATAACGGAAGGCTAACCCAAGTGCTACAGTGACAAAACGATCAAAACCTAATCACAATATTCCAAAGTTAATACCACACCACCACAAATTCACAGTAAAATCATCTTTAGCACTACCCCTAATCACAGTGCTCTTTCTATCAATCTCCACATAACCGGATATCTCCAAACTTATCTTTATATCACAAACTAATCATTTAAATCCCTGTTAATTGTTGGCCCTCAGTGTGTGAACAGGATCCGTGAACAGTATCGTGAGCAGTACCGTGAACAGTAACTGATATTTTTAGAATTCAACTACAGCCAGCTAAAAGACCAGACCAAAAAATGGATATTTCATCAGATTTTTCAGAGCAGAAACGGACTGAAAAGGAGCAAAAAACAGTAGCAAAATTGCAGAATTTTCTGCGTGAATAGTAACTGGTACGCGTGAACAGTGAAATCTTTGGTGAAACAGCAGGATTTTCACGTAGAACAGCAGCAAAATTTCAAGCCAAAACAGGTTTATTTCTACATGAACTAAGCCAAAAAAAAAACACATTTAAAGGCTGCTAATTTCTTCCCCTATTTCGGCAAGTTTCGGACAGCAAAAAGGGAAATTCAAAAGCAGAAACCCAATCACACAAGGCAACAACTACATGGATAAATTGGACTTAGAAGAGCCGGCAACTTACCAGAATTCTAGCAAGCAAACCTGTAATTGCACCAGACCCGAAGTCCTTCTCTAGTCCGCGCTTGCACTTCGGAATGACCTGCAAAGCCCCGAGGTGGAACTCGGGGTAGACACTCTGATGCTTAAGTCAGCAATAATCGGGGCTACCTTTAGGGTGGAGATAAGAAAAGCTTAAGGTTGGTTTCAATTACCTTTTGACGTGGCCCGGGGGGGTATTTATAGGATTCAATGAGGAACCCACGTGGTATGCCAAGCAAGATAATCGGAGCCTGACGTGTTCATCCAGACGATTATTCCGGGACCGGGAATTTGAGAGGTATTCAGATGCACAAGCGTCCACCATACTTGTTGTGCGATTCATCACAAGGAATCAAGTGCGGGCATGCTTATTGTTACTGTCATGCATCTATTTGAGCGGGAGGTTTTGGGTTTATTTCTCACCTCGGTCATAGAGGAGTTACTGTAGCAGTCCGAGGCTTGGCACCTCGGACCTGTCCTTACAAAACCGGAGCTGGCAGGGAGAAGAAGCCGGCGGCAAGTGCAGGGGAAGCTCACGGAATTAACCCAAATTCAAGAACCAAAACAGAAATTAGAGTAACCCAAGCCAAATCAAAGCTAAAGAGATGATTTTCATGGCTGGGGCTTACCCGAAAAATGCCCAAAAATTCAAACCCACATGGCAGCCGACGGACAGGGGAGAAGAGCAGAGCAGAACTGGGATTTTTCTGGGTTGAGAGAAAAGATCCTAAGCCCCAAATCTTGTTACTTATCAAGAAAAGAAGGAGAAAATCCCAAGCTTGGTCACCAATTTTCTCAAAGAAATGAGTCGGTGGCTAGAGGGGCTTGGAGGGGGCTGTCGGGAGGAAGAGTCGAGAAGAAGAAGAAGATGAGGAAGAGCAAAACACGTGGCTGAGGAGAGAAATATCAGCCTTGATCCTTATCCTAATTTCTTTTTTTTTAGTCCCTCAACTTTAAAAATATTTGCTATTAAGTTCATTAATAATATTTCTTCACAATTAGATCCCTAACTTACTTTAATACTCAAAAAAATTCTGGGGTATTACAGTGAGAATGCAAAATCTAAGAAAATCTTTACCCCAGCATTAAATTCATTGTTGCAATACCTCATTTCATCTCGACGACGATACATCCAACTCCGATTTTCTCCCATAATTAAGTAGTACGTACCTTAAAAATTCATCACTATCTTAATATTATATAACAAGTACTGGAATCATAAATATCAATTTTGGTCCATCAACTTTATGATTTTACACAATTTGCATCCCTCAACTTTTTTTTGCTCATATTGGTCCTTTAACTATGAATAATGTACATTTTTAGTTATTTTGTCAATTAAGTTTTTTTAG